CCCCCCCCCTTGCACACACACATGTCTACCTTACAGCAATTCCCTTAGAGTCTCCCTGACAGGGTCCTGCTTGCTGCCCGAATTCCCATAGCTCTGATTATAGCTCTGGCCAGCTCTGACGTGAACAAGTGTGTTCTTGGGACTTCCAGAACCTGCCCCTCTGGGGTTTCCACCCACAGAACCATGGAACATGGGGTTCCTCTTAGAAGAGAAGTCCTTCCTCTGCACACACTGCCCTTCTGAGGGTGAAAGCTGGCCAGGTGTCCATAGGCTCTCCTCCGGGTCAAGCTAGTCAGTTCCTCCCAGCATCTCTAGACCCATTGCCTTGCTGCCCCTTCCCATCCACTCACTCTCTTGGGACACCCTAGAGATTGCTTCCCCAACCCTCTCCCCTCCAGGGAACCCCTTAATTAGGGGCCTAAAGGGCTAAAGCACTGTCCCAATCTGAGCCTCAGTTTTTTTCTCTACTAAATGGGGGAAGCCAAAGGCCCCCTGGTACTGAGCCACCTCCATCCCTGGAGATAGGCCAACCAGGGCAGGCCAGGGGGAGTGAATCTTTTCGGTGTTTAGGGAGAAAGCACAGCTCTCTCTTTCCCGGCTGCCCCTGACTGAAGTTACACCAGCTTCTGTGGCAGTTCTCGAAATGTGCTTTGTCCCCTACCTTGCACCTCCCCTTTTGGTCACCCATGGTCTGGGGTGGGGGGTGGGCATTAGCCAGCCCAGATAGGAGTGTAGTATAAACTGGGAAGCTGAAGTTAAGAGTGGGTGGGAAATGGGGGGCCTGGAGGAAGCCTGGGGAGGAGGGGTGCCTGCCCCCGGTGTACTAAGACCTTAGATGCCCTGCTCAGGCGGTCTGTGATGTGAGAGGGTGGGGGGTGGGGGGGAGGGATGGGAATTTGAACTTTCCACATTGGTCTGGCGCCTGAGACTATCAGGTTGCAACATGACCTGGGCCCGGGGCCAGAGCTTGAGGGCCAAGGTTACCTCGCCTCCAGCCAATGGGGTCGCGGCTGGGCGGGCTGCTGTTGAGAGTGGGCAACACTCCCCCGCTATCCCAGCTTGGGCTCCAGGTCGGAGCGGCGAGTGCCGGTCCGCAGACAACAGTTCTCCGAAGGGCAGGAGTGCCCCGAGGAGGAAAAGGAATATTTGCGGAGAAAAGATCAAAGCAGGCCGATCCCCCTTTATCCCGTACGGTTTTCCGTTGATAATTTATCCTGGCCCCTCAGCTCCCGAGAACTTTGCTCCAGGGCACTGGGCCAGGACCCGGGTTGGCGCCCTCCCCTGGGACGCAGGCGTGGAGCTGGAGCGGGGCGGCCCGAGTGCTCCGCAAAGCGCCGAGGGGGCCTGGGCAGCATTAGGCGCTCAGCCTCCCGCAGCGGCCGGAGTAGGCGAGCCCAGGCCCCCCGGGCACCAGCCCCTCAGGGCCCGCAGCACCCCCTGCCCGGCCACTGCTAGGATCCTTTGCGAGCTGCGCCCCCTGGGGCTGCCTGGGGCACCCTCCTCCCGACACCCTCGACATGGCAGGTCAAAAACAGGTGTCTCGACAATGGGTGTGTGTGTG